GGGGCGGGAGGCTGAGCGCGTCCCCGTCGGCGCGACTGGCATGTGGGGGAGTCGTACAGGTGCCGCGAAGGCCCCTCGGGGGGCGCTGGCTGGAAGCGGCACAGCCGTTAGCTGCCGCCCGAGGTGGGCCGAGTCCACGGAGGAAGTAAGCACCGAGTCTGTGAAAGAAAGAAGAGCTCTAGGATATGAACATCGTCTGTCAGCAAGCACAGTCACAAACAGCTGTGCCTTCCAAGCAGTCCTCCAAATTCCTCTCACCTTTTTTTCCCCCCGTTATAAGTTATAGCCTATTCCTGCTTAGAACAATTATTCCTGCTGTGTAATTCTTTTTTTTTCTCTGAGGTCCCAGGGTATTTGTGTTAATCTACGCTTTCTGAAATCAATGCATCTTGTAGTTTCTTAGTAGAAAAATTCATTATGGAATAAAAAAACTAGTTGCCTGCTTTTTCTAATATTAAGCAACCATGTGTAGTCTCCCTGCACAGCTCCACTGCAGCTTCCTTTTTACCTGCATGTTGCAGGAACAGACAGTACAGAAGCCCTGTTTAAGAGCCCACCAGCACCATCTCCACATCAGGATGCCATGCAGGAAGTCAGAAAATCTTCACCAGGAATATGATTTGCAACTTGGGACAATGTCTGGCAGCCTTATGATTGTGCCCTTGTTGAGAAGAATTAATGAAAAAGAAAACTATTCCTCTGCCTTGTCAAGAAGTTAGAATATTTGGAAAAGTGATACTGTTTATTTTCTCTATCAATCAAACATATCTTAGATGTTACACCATGAGCTTAATAACACCTATGATAAAAAAAAAAATCCAAACTTTGAGACAAGACAGGATCTCAAAGGAGATTTTCGTAAAGATTTCTGGTAAGTCAGTGGTGCATTCCAGGATTCTCCCATCACCTTATACCTTAGGATCTCTATTCACGCATTGAAGCAAACGGTCATTTGCATGGGTGCTAATTTGTGGCCTTGATTTAGAGCATAACTTCAGTGGCCTGACCCCTCTCGTTTCTTTGGAGTCTGTTAGTAAGGAAAGAGATCAGAGCTGAACATGCAGCACTGAACTAATTTATCACGAACGATATTTTGAAGGGAAAGAGTGAAAGTATTTTTAAGTATGCATTCTAGATTTTATCTTCTAGAGATTTTCATGATGTGCATATTCTCATTGCACACTGCCATATGCATTATTGCCTACTTCGGTTTTTAAACTAATATCGGAATTTTTAATATCTCAGCATTTTCATAATTGCAATATGCAGATTTTTCTATGAAATTTTGACAAATCCCACAACCTTTGCTTTCAAGAGTAATTAGGATTCTCTAAAAGTTTAAGTTTTAGGGAAATAAAACAAGTTACAGTAAGAAAATATGTATATGTAGGAAAGAAAACAGAAATAGGTCTTTCCTCATCTTATCAGCAAAGATACCATTACCAGTTTTGTTCCTTAACCTTTCAATAGTCATGAGATTTCTATAGCTTTTAAAAAATTGTTTTTAACTTAAGTAATGGTAATTGTGATTGCTGCTGCCTGATGGCATCTTGCAGTGATAAGCCAATATCTAATGATTTTTTTTGTAATATTAAGCCCTGTGCATTCAGAACATATAGTGAAACATGTTTTGCAGGTGCCTAAAATCCAATAATGCGTTACACTTGTTTTATGTAGATAATAATCTCTCTCATTTGTTTAGACCCTGGGGTTTTTACATATTTGCCATGGCTGACCGAAGCAGAAATACTTTTTTTTTTGTGTGTGTGTGTGTGACAGGATCTTAAAAAGGAAAAGTTAACATAGCAAGAGACAAATCTAAAGAAGTACTTAAGAATTTTTTTTCTAGCTTTTCAGCTTTCTGCAGTTCATAGTGTCTTACATGAAGCAGTTCTGCCTGAGGAGTGGAAGAGAAATGCTTTTACAAAGCGAGGTGGATTGAAAATCGGCTGACCTGCCAGGCACAGAGGGTTGTGATCAGCAACACAAAGTCCAGCTGGAGACCAGTCATTCGCAGTGTACCCCAGAGATCAATATGGGGTCCAATACTATTTAACCTCTTCACTAATGACGTGGATGATGGGACAGAGTGCGCCCTCAGCAAGTTTGCAGATGATACAGCTGAGGGGAGTGGTGGATACACCAGATGATTGTGCTGCTGTTCAGAGGGACCGTCACTGGCTGGCGGAATGGGCTGGAGAGACTTATGAGGAACAGTGTCTTGGGATGCATTAGGAAGAGCATTGCCAGCAGGTTGAGGGTGATGATTATTCCCCTCTACTCAGCCCTGGTGAGACCACATCTGGAGTGCTGTGTCGAATTCTGGGCTTCCCAGTACAAGAAAGACATGGACATACTGCAGTGAGTCCAGTGAAAAGCCACGAAGATGACTAAGGGATTGGAGCATCTGTCATACAGAGAGAGGCTGGGGGAGCTGGGATTGTTCAGAATTCTGGGCTTCCCAGTACAAGAAAGACATGGACATACTGCAGTGAGTCCAGTGAAAAGCCACGAAGATGACTAAGGGATTGGAGCACCTGTCATACAGAGAGAGGCTGGGAGAGCTGGGATTGTTCAGCCCAGAGAAGAGAATGCACAAAGGAGATCTTACCAATGTCTACGTGTGCCTGATGGGAGGAAGTAAAGAAGAAGGAGCCACACTGTTCTCAGTGGTGCCCAGTGACAGGACAGGAGGCAATGGGCACACACTGAAGTACAGGAAATTCTGTTCCTAGATAAGAAAAAAGTGTCTTACCATAAGGGTGATTGAACTCGGGGTTGTGGAGTCTCCATTGGTGGAGATGTTGAAAACCCAACTGAACGTGGTGGCCCTGAGCAACCTGCTGTAGTTGACCCTGGTTTGAGCAGAGTGGTTGGTCTAGGTAATCTGCAGAGGTCCTTTCCAAACTCAACTGTTCTGTGAAAATCAAGGAATGAAGCTAAGGGTTTCATCTGAAAGTAGGAATATGGGGTTTTTGTTTTCTTTTTTTTACGTAAAAGCTAATACTCTGATGATATTAAGTGGCTTTTTTCATGGCTTGTTTACTGTCCTACCTATGCCATTCCTTCTTGATGTTCCATTTCCGTCCTTCTCCACCTACATGCATCATAGGAAGCAAGTGTTCCTAAAGCTAAAAAAGAGTAATCTTAGTTTGAATATTTATCATCTACAGTGTGTTGTATTGGCACTGTCAGACTGAAATGATTTTTTTTTTTGTGCTTTTCTCTTCCCTGATCTGCTTTTCAGGCACTTTGCCAACACAGGACAAACCTTCCCAGAGGCAGTCAGAGAGCACAAATTGCAGCCCTTCCAGAAAGAGATCAACATCTGAGAGCACATCTTCTACAGGCAAGTAGTATTTGGTGGCCTTGTTTTTGGGACCATTGCTATACTAAGACCTATGCTACTACAGATAACTGAGACACCATTGCTATGAGGACTTTAACAGCAGCAGTATGTTCATGGAGATACCGAGTTTTTCCACTTACATTTTAGGATACAAGTGCTGCAAATTGGGTTGTAGAATAGGGAAACTTGAGCTGGCGCTTAGAGAAGCAGCAGCATAGCTATGGCAGAATGGAATTTGGTTCCTCACCAGATTAAATTAGTCTTCGTGAAGCTCAATGCTTTAATGCTAGCAAGACCTGTGACACGACAGTTAATCAATTAATTAGATGAATAGATTCATTCCTCCATGGGGAAGAGCTTGACTTCTGTGCTGTTCTGAAGGCAGACAGTTTTGTGCCCTTGGGTAGATAACTGTTAGGATCAAGACAGGGTGTACTGTTATGTTTTCTTCATAGCATGGAGAATCCTGCTAAGGTGATGGAGCATGACAAGCACCTCATCCCAGTCATCACTAATGATACAGTTGTGAATGACCCTAGGCAGGTCAAAAATGATAGTAGGAGAGAGATGGAAGTACTGAAAGCCGTGGGAACCCTGGTAGAATTCTCATCAATTCTGTCAAATGAGGACCAAGTCTCAGATGCACAAAATGATCGTGAAGTTGAGAAAATGTATGCCAAGAGGATATTGAGGGAGCTGGCTTTCTCAGCCGTGGGCTTACGTACTGTGCAGGTTGCTGCTTGAGGAAGTCCATCTTTGTTCACTTCACAAGGAAGGGAAGGGTACTTCTGATGTGTTTTGAGCTTTCTTTTGTAAGGAGGTCAGACTTGTGCAGTCACACTGTGTGTGAATGTATGCGTGTTGCTATCTGTCACATTTTCACACCTACAAAACTGTCGAATCCATTGACCAAATTGTCAGAGGGAAGATCTGAAAGCGTTCATTTCTTGTATATTACCGGCAAGTTGTCAGCCATGTAGTAAAAACAGACCCTGATTGCAGTCCCTCTGAGGAAAATGTGATGTGGGCTTACCTATGATTGGACACAAAAAAATCATAATGTTGACCAATTTTGTAAGAAGCCCAGTTGTAGAAAGAACTCCTGTTAGCAGAATCCAAACATGCTTAGGCACTGAAGCTGATTGCAGATTTGTAGTAAACGTCCTTAGGATTGGTACTTAAAGAACTAGTTATGATTTCCATATAGGAAGAATGTGCCAAAACTGCTATTTCCTCCTCCCTTTAAACAGATATTTGCAACAGATGCTTTATTCAGCATATGCTAAAGAAAGTCATCTCCAGTGAAGAAGTGTGTTCTCTTTTTCCTCTCTGTCTTGTTAACTTCCTTTTACTTACTCATTTTAAAGGGGCAACTGCAATCGGTTTAAGTCTGTGTGTAGGAAGGTGTTAAAAGTTCAGGCATATTTCGTGCAGGAGAGCATAAGAATGAAATGAATCACAAGTTTATCAACTTCAAAGTCATTGAACTGATGATGCAGCTGAAAAGACCAGTCTTTGTTATATTTTCTGTAGATCTGGAATGCATGTGGGATTTCAGTGCGTTTGTCAGAGAGCTGCTTTGTTACCAAGGGCTGCAAGTGTGCCTGACCAGGGCTGCAGCTGTTTTGGGGATCATAGCCTTCAGTTGTCCCATCCTTTTGGATCAATTTCCAAACAGAAACACTAGTTCAAGGAAATCCATTAGACTTTGTGTCCAAATGTGTTGTGTGGTATAGTTTGGTTATCATTGGATGGTGCAGCTGTTGACAGAGCTCACTGTGCTAAACAGATGGTGTTTCTGTGAGGAACCCTCAGCTCCATCCCGATGTGTATTTAAAGACCATAAGAAAACAAGGGTACTTTATCTTTATTATTTCATATAAAATTGCAAGCTGAAAGTGTAAATCCTTCCAGTTCTTTCAAAGTTGTTTAGGTCGCTAGGTTTTCCAAGTGATTACAGTGAGGCTTACAGCAGTGACCTGACAAGTGTGTTTCTCTGTTCCTTTTTCACCCTGTAGGAAGAACATTGTTCATAGGAGGATTTTTAGAACTTGTTATGCTGATTCTTCTTCCTTTAAATTGTGCACTCTCTGAAGCACGTTTTTGTTTGCACTTGCAAATTCACGACTTTGGAATCTTAATGAGGAGTACATTTCTCCAGAGTACCACACTCGGACTAGTGAGCACTAGGACTAGAAAATATTTATTTTAAACTGTTTGTGCTTTATCTTTGTCAGCTAATGCATAATCTCCCTCCTGCCAAATGATAGAAACCCTTTTATAAAAACATTTTGTTGCCTTCCCTTTAACAGTTACCTTTACGCTAGTATGTGCTCTTCAGTCTACAGCCTAGGACCCACTAGTTTAAGTAGATCTAATCTAAATAATTGGTCACAATTACAGTAACTTTTTGTAAATGCTAATGTGCAATTGTGATATATTTATGAGAAGACAGCATCTATTTTATTCCAGAAAGAACAGGGTTTCTTCTGATTAAATGTTATCACTAAGAACCAACAGGGCAGCTTTGGGAAGCTCTTAGTTTGGAACAAATCCCTTTTTAATACAGCATAATCTATATGGTTGACCTGGAAATCCTCTTTTTCAAATACCAGTGTGCATCTCTAAAGCATGTAACATTTTGTTTAAAAAGTGAGATCTAACTTTACTTCCTGTGTAAATTAGCCTTTCTCTTTTGTCCAGATATTTTGATTTACCTTTATCCAAGCCTGTTCTTTATTGCAATCAGTTCTGTCATCATTATGTTTGTCTTTTTGATAAAGAAACTGCAAGAGCAATGATAAAGTTGTTTCAGTACTTCCAAACTATGAAAAAGAAAAATTAGTTTAAAAACATTTCAGATGTTGCTCAATTTTTTAATCAGTATTTAATTTTTCTGTGCACAGAGGGTTTCTTATTTTTAGTGTTGAAGAGAAAGAAACTTGAGAAGAGTTCTGGACTGTACGTACATAGGGAATGCCCTCATTGCTCTTTGCTATTAGAAGTGGGGGCCTGCACATGAATAAAGAGAAAATTGTATGTTAAAACTGATGGTACAAAATGTAGACTTCCCACTTACTTGCATCTCTAGGTCCCTTTCCCATTAGAACTTGTGTTACAGAAATTGGTCTCTTGTCGTTGAACGTTCCAGGCAATTATAGGATATAAAAGGCTGTCAGTCTGTCCAACTATTGTATTTTAATTGCAACCTTATTTGATTGTATCTCAAGTCTGTTTCAGTATACGTATGTTTGTTTGTGTTTCAGTGATTGGAGTACCTACCCGGGGAGCGAGGCTGGCAACTGCTGTTGATGATTCAGTGGATAGCTTACTGCAGCGCATGGCACAACATGAAGGCCAGGCTACTTTGGACAAAACCTTAGAAGCAGTCATTGCAAATGTGTCTGTTCCACCATCAGCTAGTCCTGCTCGAAACCACAATAGGGAGAGAGGTCTGGGGAAACAGGACAGCCTCATAGCTCCAGCAATTCCCAGCAGCTCCTGCAGCGATAGTATCTCGCTTCTGTCAGACAGACTACCAAACAGCTATTCCCCACATCATCTCAAGAGAAGCGTGGTTGAAGCCATGCAGCGACAAGCTAGGAAAATGTGCAATTATAACAAGATCTTGGCAACAAAAAAAAATCTTGACCACGTCAATAAAATTCTGAAAGCCAAAAAGCTGCAAAGGCAGTCACGGACAGGGAATAATTTTGTGAAGCGCAGGCCAGGTAGGCCCCGGAAATACCCAATGCAGGCTGTCGTTTCAATGCAAGCTTTCCAGGCGGCTCGACTGGTCAGTCAGGAGTTAGATAAAAGAGAAGAAAGCAGCAGTCCCTTACACCTTGGACCTGATACCATCACAGATGTGATTGAAGCTGTAGTGCAAAGCGTGAACTTGAATACAGATCACCGAAAAGGCTGGAAGAGAAAGAGGTGGCTTGCAGAGGAACAGGCCAGGAAGCGACAAAAGTCTTTACCAGAAGATGAACAGGAGAGCAGTAAGAGGTAATTCCCTTACAATTTTGTACCCTCAGTATAGTTATTGTTGATTTTATAACATTTCAATCCATGAAAGAATCCTACTCTAATGAGCTTTGCTTGTTACATTTGTTTTTATTAAGGAGTTCAGTGTAGAGGGAACCAACATGTCAGTTTTAAGTATGCTTAGGGTCTTCCTAAGTTACTGAAGACACCCCAAAATGGGATGGAATCTTAGGTAATCTAAAACTGTTGGGTTTGTGCTTGTGTCTCAAGTGAAGCAAGTTTTATGATTGCCTTGGTGAAGAATACTTTTAATGAGTTGGTAACAGGTTTACTGATGAGATATCATAGCAAAGATTGTTCCTTCATCATGTGCGGAATAAGGAAATGTAAGAGCTACATGTGCCATGGGAATCTTAAAGAGTGTGGCTCATAGGTATAGGCCACGAACAAATACTTACAAGCAACACAGAATGTCAAGTGAGATCAGTTGATACACAACAAATAAAGAGTAAAACCGAAGCAGCAAGGAGGAGTTAAGGTGTGCACCTGTGCAATCACTGGCTAGTAAAGGACCACACCAGAAATCTCTCTGGTCTAATCTTCACATGCTTATCCCCAAAGTCATCGATACAAACAGATCAAACTCTTCCAGAAGTCTTCCTTCGTGTGTTTTCAGAATAGTTCTGAAAAATAACCATCCAGTTGTGTTTCAGAAATGAATACTGTAATATAGGCACTTAGATTCACAGAATATTGCTGGAACCACATGTTCAAAGGGTGTATTGTATGGCGCTCCTGAAGGCTAAGAAAAGGTTTACCACATACTGTTTTTAGAGTACAAAAGCAGATAGCATAAGCCACCTTCTAAATTACTCAACTGAGGCTCCAAGGGATAAACATTAGCAGTACAAACAATATTCTTTTTGTAATAATTAATAATAACATTACTATAAAAAGATCGTACATTTCTTATGATTATACTTAACCACCACTTGATCATGATCATTGAATTGCATTTTTTTAAATAGCTGAGACACCTAGTAATTCAGAAACATGGACATTTTTTTTCTGCTGACCAGATTATAGAGCGGAATAATGAAATATGGCAAGATAATCTTTATGGTAAGAAATATGGTAAGATAATCTTTAATCTTTACTTTTTCTTCCAGCTTTTCTGAGACAGTAGCTGAACCTCCCAGTCCGCATGATGCCCTTGGGAAACCGCATGAATCTGAAAACACTGAACAGCCTTTGCCTTCTCCAGCCCAGCGTGAGAAAAAAGCTCCTCGACCCCCAAAGAAGAAGTACCAGAAGGCAGGGCTCTACTCTGATGTGTACAAAACAACAGAGTAAGTAATACCAGTGAAAAGCTGCTGTCTGATATTCCAGTGGAAACTGTCTCCTTTCAACTAGAGCCATAAAGAGCTGCTACTAATGAGTAGCTGAAATAAAACCATCAACTTAATTCAAGCCTGTGAAAAATTACATGCATGATAATTATCAGAATCTGACCCAGTGAAGATTTAAAATGTAACCCCAGTCAGAAAGCAGCCTCCACCAATCTGAAAGTGTTTCTGAGTATCGACCTTGAAGAAGGTAAGAGAGCTTCATTCGACAATCTTAACGATCACGGCAGTAAAAGTGCTGGGAGAGCTTGAGGTGTTCAGGTACTGAGTACAGTGTCTACATAAAAGGGGCCATTAGTTTTCTATTTTTATTGACTGAATGATGACAACTGGTCATCTTTCGTGTGCAAGAATTTCAGATATGTACCCTGTTCATTTCACAGTTAAGTGAGGTTCATCTCCCTCACTTTCTTTGAGATGTTTAGAGTAAAAATCCATCATTCTTTTATTTTTTTCACTTGTTGGCTCAAAACCTAGTGTACATTAGAAAGTGGACATCTCCTGTTTCTGATAACCAGCCCACTTCTGCTTCCATTTGTAGTTACATAAGTTTTCTACAGCCATTTGAACAAATGTGTTGAAGTCAAGAATTTACACTTCTCTTATAATATGATCTGACAGATTAAAAAGAGAGAAAACTGGGCACCTTCTCATTATGTTGTTTAAAAGGTTACAGAGATCACTGGGAGACTGCTAGTATAGTTTTATCAGCTGTTCCTGGTGTCTTCTCTTTCCATAGTAGAATGAAGGCATCGATGAAAGGATCAAGACTCTAAGGAAGAAACAAAGATATAGGCCTGCTCAAAGTGAGACTGCTTATGTTTCTAATAGTTTGAAAGCAGATGTGCTAAAATTTTCAGCATTTGGATGTTCTGTCACTGGTATACACAATCATGCAACATTCAAATATTCTATCATAAAAATTAGGTCTGTTGCCTTAGGAGGGGACCTGAGAGAGTCTTTTCTTTTTCTTTATTATAAAATGTTAGTTACAGTATCAGACCTAGTCAGCCAAGGGTGGACCTTTATTTCATAAGCAGTAAGCAAACATGTCATTTGAAAAATTGTATGAATACAGAAAGTGAAAGTCAAGGTTTGTAGGTATTGTGGATGATGATGGAATCAAGTTCACCACCCTGGAGAAGGCCATGACAAAGCTGAGCTCCACTCACAACCCTCCCTCTCCCATCACATTTTGTGTTGCAGTTCCCTGGAAGCTCAAAGAGGTCTGATTTGGTCTTCCCCTTTGCCTGTTGCTCCACATGCTGAGTTCTTCCCTTGCACTGATACTGATGTTTGTGATGAGCTGCTTAAGAACACTGAGGAAACTTTACCCTACCAAGGAAGCAAATGCTGCCTACGCAATCTGAACTACCTCTCTACATGGTTGTTGAACACTGATACTGAAACAAGGCATGGAAATGCATAGCTGGGCAAGGACAGAACTGTGGCCATCTTGATTTAGGTGTCTTGTCTTACAGCAAGGTGCAGCTTGAAGGGCTGATCCCACCACTCCTTCATGCTGGCACTGGGTCTCTTCTTTACTAAATTGGTTCAGCAAACTAAATCAGCAGAACAATAGTCACTTTTTTATAATTAAATTTTCTGCTGATTTAACTTGCTGTTCCAGTTCTACTGCACAGTCAGTCAGACATAAGTCAGTGCAAGAGGAGAGCAGAAGTTCATGTTGTTATCCTATTATTTATGTAACTTCCTGCTGTATGAGTATGAAAACATGATCTTAGTTGAGAACAAAAATGCAACTCCGTAATCGTACGGCACCCTCTAGTGATGGTACAGTTAAGTGTTATCCCTGTCTCCATTAAAACAGCCTCTGCATTCTCTATTAATGGGTGTTGTACTCACCATTTTTCTGTATTTCTGTTTGCAGTGTTCAGTTGCAGACACTGTCTTAAAAACCATTTTCCTACTCTATTGGATCTTCTTCAGTACTTCCTAAACATCATTAGAACATAGGAAGTAGTGAAAGTTTTACTGAGGTTTACTGTTACAATTTACAGCCTCTCTCTAGATCAGTCACATCCAACTGCTAAACAACAGCACAGAAAATGTTTGTCATGTCATTGCCAGTTTTAGTCTACTGTTAAAAGAGAAAAGTCTGCATTATTTCTCTGCAGCCACTTGAATTGTACAATTGCCTCAACAGGATTTCACTCCAACTCACCTTGATCTAGAAACTTTATTAAAACACAGTGAAGAAAGCTCAGACTTTGATTCCTTGCAAATGAACTAAGAATAAAAGGAATCGTTTCTGGAGTCAATCTCAGTTCTACCTCAATTTCTGAATGCAATTTTGTAGACAGCATTAGCTGATCTGACGTTAACCTCCACATGAGTTTTCCAGGATCCTCAGCTCCCACTGGAAGAATTACACAGATCTTTTGCTGAAGAGAAGTTCAGTGTGTGGTTGCACAAGACTGCAGCTTTGAGAGCAAAGGAAGATTTTGTACAGGAGTCATTATCTATTTACCCAGCAGTGGCTTTCCTAGAGGAGTGCAAAGTCTAGTTCACCACAGAAATTTAATAATAATTAGTAAATTATTAATTAATCAAAATGTATATTGTTTAGGGAAATATATTTTTATATAATATATGATTTTTATCAGTAATAACAAACATGAGTCCTCATTGCAAAAGTGTAATCTATAGAATTTGCTGTGATCAACACTGAATTGCACCTTGCTCGTCGTTAGGTAACCATAGCTGGTCAAAGACTATGGTTGCACAGACAGTGTAGTTTAGCGCAGGCCTGTTGCTCTTCTGGGATGTGGTGTTTCCACGTGATAGGCACATTGCTCCTACAGTGCCTCCATTTTGCTGATGTTGGAGTTTGTGGAGCTGCAGGGTGACTCAGAGTAGGTAATTGAACATTTTAGAGGCAAACCTATTGAAAAATCAGCCAGCTGAATTAAAATGACAGTCTAAGATTGCAGTTCAGCAAATGCTTTAAGTTGGCATAAGCTAACACTGCACTAAAAGAATCAGTTTTACTTTCTCCTCACCTTTGTGGCTTATTCCTATCCCTGTGCTGTCCTTTCCTTTGTCCCATCATGATGACCAGGGCAACTGAACCAGGCTGGGATAGTGATTCAGATGAAATCCAGCCTTCCACAGTAGGTTTCCTGGTGCAGTTAACCTTGCAGTCATACCAACAGTTACGCCAGCAGAAGGGGGGAGCATCAAAGCCAGCTTATACTGACTTAAAATGTTTGTCAAACTATGGTCTCAGAGAGAAAATTGGGCTCCACGCCTCAAAAATGTAATTGTGCACTCCACAGAGAACTAATTCCAGCCAACATGGTAAGAGTGTAGGGAGAAGACGCTAGAAGCTGGAGAGGGGGAACAGAAATGGAACACCACATCAGAAAGAAAGGAAGGAGAGGGATGGAGAGAAATGGAGGTACAGGAAAGAAGACTGTGTGTCGTGGTTTAACCCCAGCTGGCAACTAAGCCCCACACAGCTGCTCGCGCACTCCTCCCTGGTGGGATGAGGGAGAGAATCAGAAGAGTGAAAGTGAGAAAATTCATGGGTTGAGATAAAGACAGTTTAATAGGGAAAGCAAAAGCCGCGTGTGCAAACAAAGCAAAACAAAACAAGGAATTCATTCACTCCTTGCCATCAGCAGGCAGGTGTTCAGCCATCTCCAGGGAAGCAGGGCTCCGTCATGCATAATGGTGACTTGGGAAGACAAACGCCATCACTCTGAACGTCCCCCCCTTCCTTCTTCTTCCCCCAGCTTTACATGCTGAG